GCCGAGGCAGGAAGATCCCTGCGAGCTCAAGGTCAGCACAGGTTACATAGTGAGTTCAAGACCAATTTGAACTGCAGAACGAGACCTTATCTCAAAAAAATAAAAATAAAAATGAAAATGAGTTTACACTACAATATTTTCTGGAGTCACTGGCTTTTTTTACTTCCCAGCATATTAGGTCAGCTATAATAAGAGTTAAGTAGGCTGTATATTTCTCCAAGAAAATGCCCCTAACTGTACTCTCCTAGCTTAAAAACAGGTGCTTCGACGCAGTCCTCCTGAACTCGGAGACTGCTCTATACTAACTCAGCCTACGCTGTAAAAGTCAACATCCCTATAGACTTCCTCTGCCAGTGCTGATGTTCCTTTCGTCTAACTCAAAACCCCGGGGCGGGGAATATAGCTCAGTGGAATCGAGCCTGCCTGGCACACATGAGGTCCCGAGTTTGATTCCCATTGCCAAAAACAAAACAAAACAAAATAAAACAAAACAAAACCAGTAATGCCTATAATTGCTTTTTGTAGAAAAGGTGCTCCATGGTCCACGTCACTTGTATATGGTACATAAAACTGCCTAAAATAAGTCTTAGAAAACACAATAATTATACCTTAGGTGGTCAAAGAGCAAGTCTATTTTGCAATCTTTTATTTATGATGAGATGACAATACTTTAAATTATGAATAATCTTTTCTTCAAAGTTCTAAATGGTTTTGATGTTACAAGTGCTGTCATTCTAAAAATAAAAATATCTTTAGTTATGGTAGACCACCTCTCTAATCAGAACAAATCTCTGCTAGTCTACCAGTTTTTGAAATAATAGATCAGCAGTTTCCCCTTGGTATAGGTGATTGTATTTATGTAACCGGGTTTGGGGGCAGACGTGTCTCACATACATGCAACCAGATTATATCCATTTTTTAAATGCAGATAAAGCTGAGTTTATATATACTTTATTTCTAGTGAAACTGCCAAAAAGCTTACCAAATTAAAATAAAGCCAATGTAATGCTTTGGGATACTTTTTTTTGAGAGAGAGAGAGAAAGAAGGTCTCTTTAGGTAGTTCAGGCTGGCCTGAACTCACTGTGTAGCACAGGCTGGCCTTAAACTTGCAGCATTCCTCCTGCCTCAGCCTCCCAAGTGCTGGGATTATAGGCATGTACCACCATGCCCAGCTGGAAAATGTAATACTAAAATCATGCAACATGAAAAATATTTTTACTACTTCTGTGAACCAGAGATGCAGAACACAGAGAGAGAACTGTGACCCAAACACTTGTTACATCTAGGTTGCTCACCCAACCAAGAATAAAGGGATTTAACTGAGTGTGAATCATTTTAGAGAAAATATCTGCCCGGCTGGTGCTATGCTTGCCTGGCATGTGCAAGGATCTGGGTTTGCTCTCTGGTGCGGCAGACAGTGGGAAGATGGAGGGAAGCAGGGAGGGAGAACAGAGGGAAGGCAGGCAGGGAGGCAGGTGTGCAGGTGGGGCAGGCAGGGAGGAAGGAAGGAGGGAGGGCGGGGGAGGGAGTTATCTATATAATACAGCCCACTGTTTACAGGAAGGGAGAGAGGTGTTATGTTTGTGTCTAGATGTTCCCCCAAAGCCTCATGTGGTCCAAGGGAGGGGCTTTTTGGAGGTGGCTGAATCTAGAGTTTATGACTGCATCATTGTCTAGTGCTGGCATTGGGGGTGTGAATGCTACACATGCCCTGGCGTGGGTGTAATACAATATAAAGGAGGAAAAGAGACTTGTTCCTCCCCTTGCTCTTGTGGCTTTTGCTGCCTTCCACTGTGATAAACTGTTGCCCCTCAGCCATGCCACCCTGCCTTGGAGCCAGCTGCTTATGGACTGAAACCTCTACAAACTGTGGACTGAATAAACCTTTTCCCCTTTAACTTTGGGTGTTGGGTATTTTGTCTCAGCAATGAGAGAAAAGTAACTTAAGAATTTGGTACCAGGAGTGGGGGTGTTGCTACAACTTTATCTGATCGTTGTGGTTCAAGAGCCCTTGGGAATGGCTTGTGGGAAGTCTGGAAAGGTTCAGAGATGTCACCTAAAAGAGCAGAGCTGGAACACCTTGGGCTGTTCTGTATGGGAAATTCTGGTCAGAGCTCAGAAGACCAGAAGGCTGATAGAAATCCTGCTGGTAAAGACCAGGCTCAGGAGGTGTCTGCTGGGAGGGACTGCACTGGTTGCTGGACTCCAAATGGTGTGTGTAATGTCTTGGCAGAAAGTTTGTCTGCATTTTGCTCACGGCCAGAGACTGCCTGAGACTGAGATTAAGGGTGGCAGACTAACTAATCTTGTAGAAGGAATTTCAAGGCAGTTCAATGTTGATGCCATGGCATGGCTGCTATTGGGGGCTTTTAGCCAGATCTATGTTGAAAATCAAGAGTGAAGAACCCAGCAGAATGACTTAATCTAGTGTGAGTTTGGCCACAAAGGAAGATCCAGTAAAGCTGGGGACTGCAAGAGAGAGCAAAGGAGATCTTGATTGCTGATAAGCAGGAGAATAGAAAAGATAGCCTGAGGGCATCACAAGTGATGGGCAGTGTCAAAATTGCCTCAAAATTGCCAAAGTGAAAGACTTTGCTTTGAGAAGAAAGCTCCAAAGCACCAGATTCCAGAATGGCAGCAGCCTAGAGAATCTGTTCCTCAGACCTGGATTCAGAGTGCTCAGTGATCCAGGCCTTTGACCCCTATGGCCAAGAGAAGGGGAAGCTTGGCTACTGCTCCAGGTGGCAGCAGACCTTGCTATTATCCATGTGGTGATAGTTTTAGGTGCATGAAGAATGCAAGAATTCTGGGGTTAAAAAGGCTTCCACCCAGATTTGAAAAGAAGGCCTGGGTAGCCCCGGAGTGTGTTCGAGAGGGCGAAGCTGTGTGTGAAGCCAAAGGTGCAGTGGAGACCTCAGAAGTTTGGAGAAGCCAGGAACATGGATCCTCTGAGGAAACCTGCAAGGAGGGAGCAGAATGGGCCCAAGAGAGAAGCCATAGGCTGCTACACCACGGGAAGTGCCATGGGGTGGAGCCACACAAGCCCTTGGAGCTCACAATGTGCCACAGACTGTTTTAGATGCTGCACATGGAACTACAGGACTTAATGTCTGCCCTGCTGGATTTTGGGCTTGCTTTGGTCCCAATCCTTTGTATCCCCCTTTATAACGTTCGGAATGGAAATGTTTGCCTTGTGCCATTAAATGTTGGAAGTGTTTAACTTTCTACTTCTACAGGGGCTCATAGGCAAGAGTTTGCCTTAAATCTTAGAGACTTGGGACTTGGACTTTTCAGCAATGCTGAAACTGTTAGGCCTGTGGCAACTCTTACAGATGTACTAAATGCCTTCTGCATAAAGGGATGTGTAAGCATCTTTGGGAGTTCAGGGGCAGAATGTTAAGGTTTGTGTCTGGACGACCCCCAAAGCCTCATGCAATCATGGGGGATGGGCTCTTCAGAGGCAGCTAAATTTAGAATTTGTGACTGGTTCATTTTCTAGTGCTGGGATTGGAGTGTGAGTGCTACACCTGCCCTGTCCTGGGGTGGGTGTTGCCTGTATACAATATAAAGGAGGAAAAGAAGCTTGCTCCTCCCGTTTTTCTCTTGTGGCTTTTGCTGTGTCCACTGCATGAATTGTTGCCCCTCTGCTACACCACCCTGCCTGGGAGCCAGCTGATTATGGACTGAAACCTCTACAAACTGTGGACTGAATAAACCTTTCCCCCTTTAACTTTGGGGGTCGGGTATTTTGTCTCAGCCACGACAGAAAAGTAACTAAGACAGGTGGGATCTTTATTTAATAAATGCACAATTCAAGTGCAAAGTCCTGAGTCTGATTCCAGGTACCAAAAAAGGTACAATTTCTAAGAAACTACATGTTGCTCCTCTTATTTACTTAATTTTTAAACTTTTTTGGCTTTTTTTAAGACAAGGTTTTGCTATGCAGTTCAGGCTGGCTTTGAACTCACTCTGTAGCCCAGGCTGGCCTCAAACTCACTGCAATTCTCCTGCCTCAGCCTCCCAAATGCTGGAATTATAGGCATCTGCCTCCATGCCCAGCATGGTGCTCCTTTTACTTACCCAATTCATCCTCCTCTATGTGTGAACACACAGGTCTTAGGATCCCTTCTTTCCTGAATGGCAAAGCCACAGAGATTTCCTATCGCATCTTTCAGTCCCTGGTCCCTTAGCAATCAACATGACTGGTGCTTATGTACCAGATTAATGCCAAATTAAAAGAAATACAGGGTTTGGGCTAGTTCTCAAAATTAAAAAATAATATTTAAACAAATCCCTTGATATAAAAGGCTGCCCTTCTCTCTAAGAAGTAAGTAGTTTGTTAGAGACACAGGTTCATATTCACCTTCCAATCTAGGCTTTCAGCAAAGTAAACTAAGTCAAATACTAAACAGGTGTAACATCCTCTGGCTTCTCTTTAGATCGCATAAATCTTTTGCCTTTTAAACAGGTACAAATGTACACACTTAAGGTATTCTACTCTTTGATTTCTTGTTTGTTTGTTTGTTTGAGACAGGGTTTTGCTATGTAGGTCAGGCTGGCACTGAACTCACTATGTAGCCTAGGCTGGTCTCGAACTCTTGCCTCAGCCTCCCAAGTGCTGGGATTACAGGTGTGCACCACCACGCTCAGCCATTTTTCTTCTTCTTCTTCCTTTTCTTTCTTTCTTTTTTTTCTTTTGGTGGTGCTGGGGATCAACCCACAGGCTTGTGTATGCAAGGTGAGAGCTCCACCACCGAGCCACATCCCCAGCCCTTATGCTTTGTTTTAAATCAACTTACTCTGTGTCATTAAGAGAAGGGTTTTAAAATGCAGACTGTTGATTAATGCAGAGAATAAGGAGCTAAAAGCCAGAAATTTTCTAATATAGCAAATAGATCACTAAAATAATTGGGCTTGAAACATATACTTATTTTAACTTTCCATTGTTATTCTTTTTATAATGAAGCACACACACGCACATACAGAATCAACCCTACCATTTAACATGTGCAAAACTGCTTACCATTTATTTTAATTTTAACTTTGGCTAAGTATCTGTTTCGTCTACATCAGACACATTATGGAAACTATACAAATGATTACCAACATAATAATGAGGTAAGTTAAAATCCTACTAGTGCAAAAAGCAAGCATATGCCAAAAGCAACACATAGGAATTGAACAAATGCAGAGTGAAGCTCTCATCAAGGAGCCGCAGGCTAACAAGCCGGAGCGGCTCCCTGTCAACACTGTTTGTCACACCGACATTTAAGGATTCAGATAGCCACAAAGGAAGGTTTTTTAACAGCACTGTTGCAGTGCGTTTATTGTATCTTTAGAGTTCGGAAACCACTCAGTATGTGTCTAACAGTCTGCGTATTTTCTTCAAGAGAAAATTAGTGAGACACATTAATTACAAATACTGTAATATAAAAATCCCAGTTCTTTACAAAAATTATATATTAAAATATTCTATACACTTTAAATTAGTAACTGGAGCATGCATATATATCAATTCTGCACAATGAATTCCATCTTTGCTGGGGATATGATACATACAAGTTTGACGACGCAGCTACTCAGTCAACCTTAGGCATAAGGTGATGTGGTACAGACAGAGAGACCCGTGCCCTACAGCTACTGCAGCTCCGGGTCTGAAGTGTCTTTTCTGCAATTATTGCTCTGTGTGTATTTGTTCCAGACTTGAATAGGCAGTGGAACCAGGAAGTTCCCAAAAGGTTTAAAACAAGTTACCTACAGCAGAGTGTTTATAACTCTTCTCTGCATTTTGAAGGTTGTAAGGAACCTGAGTTAGCTGTCTAATGCTTATAATTCATCGTAAAAAAGTTTATACAATTTCGAGGTAAAAATAATGCAAAAATAAAACATCTAGAGCATTTACAAAATCTTACAAATGTTTAAAACACTATTTCAAACTTAGGTCTTATTAAGGTGCTTCTTTCTTTCTGCAGTAAGAGGACATATACTTTAATTCTGAATTTTTAAATTATGAAGGTTTTAACTTCATCAAAAGGGGTTAAGAGCCATTAAGCACATGAAAACAGTCAGGGATCTAGTCTACTTCTGGGGAACATACATTTTGGAGACAAAAGAGACCTTCCAGGTAAACTCTTCTAACCCCTCATCTGTTAAGGAGGAGCTTAAGGGCCCGACAAAGTATGTGCTTTAGCCAAAAATATACTCAAGTATATTGGGCTGGGGAATGGAGACTACCCTTTATTCTTTTTGTGTCTTGCCATGATTCCGGAAAAGGAATAGAAATTCAAAAGCAGAGTCTCTAAGCTTGCTTCTTCTCTGTCCTGGTCAAGCTCTATACCAAATGTAAGTGAAGAAAGGAATCCAATGTCTACTGAACCGAGCCTAACAGATATCCAAAGGAAGATCGCGGTCAGCACGGCTCGCACAGATGGAGTCGGAGGGAGCCCTCAGACACAGGGCGCCTGCAGCGCAGGGGCTTCACTTTCTAAGGCAGGAGAGAGAACAACGTCCAGCTGCTGGACTCATCTCAGTAACTCGGGGAAGACTGAGTTACACAGCTTTAGAAAAGGTGTCGGCTAGCAAATCCTTCTAGCTTTATCTCAGTTTTATTGTTTTTCTTTGTGAAAGAGCTATACATGTAAGGAAGAATCCATATACTAATTTTCAGAGTCCTTGCTTCTTTTCTATTTTTATTTGGATCTACAATTGAGCAAATACATTTTAAGAACAACTTACAAACTCAAATTCATAACTACTAGAAATACAGTTGGAGAATATTTTTTTAAATGACAACTCTTCATCACCAGTTGCTAATAAATAAGTGCCATCACAACAGCATCAGTGAAAAATTGCACTCAGTTTAAAGGTGCTTTCTTGTTGTTACCTTGCAGCCACCGCACTTGCGTCGCCGGCCCATACCCCTTCTCGTTCTTCGCCGAGATGCGGAACACGATGGCAGGCCGGGACGTGTAATCGATGTGCGCGTTCGCAAGCTGCCCAGCGGTCACGACGCACGAAGTCTTAAGACCGCAGTAAATCCTCATGAACACGAGCTGGCTCGGGTTGTCTTGTATCTGTGCTGTGCGGATAGCCAAGTAGGCAGAGTACTCCAAGATATTTCCAGAAGGGGAGGTTGGAGGTTCCCAGGAAAGGTGGATGCCTTCAACATTCTAGAAAAGGGGGAACACGTGAAGGTTCTCCAGTCTTCTCTACGAGCACGTATGTTAAATCTATCTTTAAGATACACAATGCTTGTTTTTCTTAAAGTAACTGCATTAGATGCTAGACGCACTGTTGACTGTTTGAAAATCTATCTTACGCAGATCTATAATGCTTAGTTTGTGTGCACTTTTTTTTTTTTTTTGAGATAGGTCTCGCTATGTAGTCCAGACTGGCCTTGAACTCATGGTGATCCTCCTGCTTCAGCCTCCTGAGTGCTGGGGTACAGGCGTGCCACCATGCCCAGCACATGCCTGTTTTTCACAAGCATAGCAAGGCTTAAGTGTCTGCCTGTAATATCCCAGAAAATGGAATTTCCTTCACTAAACACAGGCCTTTCCTTCCCTAAGGGCGGGCAAGACTTAGGATAAAATGTAATTCAATGTCATGCACGCTACTAGAATTCTCCAGGGTGAACTTCTGGTTTATATAATAAGAACAAAGCCAGAACATTTCCCTGCCTTTCTGTGATTTGAATGCTGTAATTCTGCGTGAAGTTTAGTACTTAAAAATATCATGAGTAATTAGCAAAAAATATTTAATCCACCTCTTTCAGATAATCTCATTTCATCAGATGCTAACAAGAACTTCTAAATGCAGTTGGCTTCACATAGGAAGTCTGAAATAATTTAAATCACCAGGTCTCGCACTGGTATCTCACCTTGGAAATTCTGACTGCAGAGGGAGCTCCAGGGAAACCAGGAATACAAGTTTTAAATTCGCTAACTTTGCTGAAAGGGCCTATTCCACACCCATTGATTGCAGCAACCCTGAATCTGTACCCCGTGCCCGGAACAAGATCTTGTTTCTTAAGTAAACTGTAGTCAGGAACATCTGCATTTTCTACCTAAAATGGAATACATACAAAAGTCAAATAAGAACAGTTATTTATTATTCAATTTTTTTAAAGTTTTTTTTAGTTTTTTTTCCAGTACCAGGAATCAAACTTACGATCTTGTGCTTGTCAGGCAGGCGCTGTGCTGCTGAGCTAAATCCCCAGCCCCTATTATTCAATTTTTAAAAATTATTTAATTTTCATTCAATAAAACTTTTTTTCAGCAAAACTTTTACATAATGAATTGTATTTTAAAGTCCCAGCTCACATTTACTTATTTCTGTCTCACATACAAGGAATAAACCTTCCAATATGGAAGCAATTAAACCCATAAATCAGTGATTCTTACCAAAGGAAAAGTGCCTTTTCCAGCTGAGAATCACTGATTGTGAAGAGAAATGCAGGGGTATTCTGCATGTGAAAGGTAGGAAGGCGGAAAAAGATTAACAAGTGTTACAGACAGAGTAACAACTACCCCTTCCCACACAGACTTGGCTTGGAGCAGAAATCTCAGTTACTGTCAGGTAACAGTCTGCCCAGGACAACAGCCTCTGAGACAGGCGAGTGAGCCCGGCAGAAAAGAAGCCACTTCCAAGTGCTACAGAGAACCTGTACACTGCACGCTCAGGGCGCTGAATAAACACCACACTAAGTAATTAGACGCTCTAGGCTGGAAGATCAGTGTTCACAACTTTCACACAATTTTTACATATTCTCCCCTCGCTCTCACGAGACCACTGCGGGCCAGGAAATGCCAGTGCTCCACCGTACCTGATGGGAGCCAGGTCATCTCGTCTTATAGATGAGGAACCGAGGTCTCAGACAGACTGAACAAGTGACTCGTTCCAGTCCACACTGCTGGGTGCTGCAGTCAGTGACTCAAACCCAAGTTTACTGGCTCTATACCTTATGCTCTTTTTTTCTTGTAGGAAAAATCAGGTAGCTAATAGGCCCTTAGATATGATATGTCTTTATACATAATATCCAACTTCAACCAGAAATTTCACCAGGTATAATACTAACAAATAATTAACTAGAATTTCTGTTTTGTCAAGAACTGGAAAAACTCAATTTGAAAAAGAGGGACACCAGATGTAGTATTAGATAAATGAAAATATACAATATACTAGTTGGGTACCCTTATGCAAAATGTTCAGGACAAGAAATGTTTTGGATTTCCAATTTCTGTCAGATTTTGGAGTATCTGCATACCCCTAATGAGGTATCTTGAGGATGGACCCAAGTCTAAATACAAAATGCATTTACTTCATGTACACCTTACACAGCTGGCCTGAAGGTAATTTTACACTATATTCAGAGGTACTGGGGACTGAAGCCAGGTCCATTACACCAAGCAATCTCCCCAGCCTTCTTTGACTTTTTTGAGCTAGGATCTCACTAAGTCACCAAGTTGCCCAGACTGGGCTCAACCTTCTGGACTCAACCTTCCTGCCTCAGCCTCCTAGAGCGCTGGGATTACAGGTGTGCAGTGCCTTGCCGTCTGCCTGGGACTCATCACCTCAGCTCGCATATGCATTTCCTACTGCGGCATGTTGACACTGTAAAGGTTTTCATTTTTGGAGCACGCTGGATTTTGCATTTTTGGCGTTAGAGAAACTCATCTTATTTTCTCCATCTGGGAAGATCTAGAGAATGCAAATGAGTAGCTATTCCCTTGCAATTTCCTTCTGGAAATTCTCCATGTATGGAAAACACTAGTTCAGCATGCTTTAGAGTCGTTAACCATTTCATAATTGTGAGAGGCGTCGTTTCACACAGTGTCTCAAGAAGCTTCAGAATCAAGGGAAAATTCATAGCATATAGAGGCTTTAAAATTTTTAAAATTATAAAATCAGGAATAAAAGTATCTCGGTAAAAAAACAATTATTTAAACACAAGGGGCTGGGGATTTAGCTCAGCAGCAAAGCACCTGCCTGGCAAGCGCAAGGTCGTGAGTTCGGTTCCTGGTACCAGAGAAAAGCCAAAGCCAAAGCCGAAAAAAAAGAAATCTAAACACAATGAGTAAGAAAATTAATTAGAGACATTTCAAAAAAAATACTCATTTTAACTTGTCAGATTAGATTTTTATGACATGAAACCCAGCTTAGATTGTATAAGACTTTTTAAAAGGACATGCCTGTGATATACTGAATTCTATTTTGTTTTTTGTGGGTACCGGGAATAGAACTCAGGACCTCACGCTTGCCAGGCAGGTGCTGTGCCGCTAAGCTACATCCCCAGCCCTGACACGCTGTATTCCATAAAAAGAGCCTTAATAAACAAAGCAAGACAGCTAAGCATACAGAACTCTCCACTACAGACTGCAATCAGATCCCCATTTTACTCATCCATATGACCTGAATGCGTTACAGAAGCCACCGCACTCAAGCCGTAACCCACAGGGCAGAAATACATCACGGTTACCTTTGAGGTGCTCTGCTTCCCCTTCGGTAGCAAGTAAAACTGGCTCACCAACGCGGTATTGTTTTTAAAAATCCCCACATCACACCACTGTCGTTCTCCTACTTTCACTGTGGCCACTGGATTTGAAGGTGTCTCTTTCTAATTTTAGAGAAAGAAAAACTTATGAAGCCTCCTATCATCAAGCATTTGAGAAGTTTCAAGCTCTACTAAACCCATGCAGGATCTACAAGTAGGTATACGGGTAAACATCACAACACTGGCAGCTCATCAGCAAATCAAGTCTTCACAGATTAGGTCAACTGACAGTGGAGGGGAACCGATCAAACCCAGGGGTGGCAGGGGTGACAGGCATTCTCCAGCCGGGCTCTGAACCCGGTACTATCAGCCGGGCTGGGGTTAGCTGCTTTCCAATCAGTGACAGGTTAAAATGCCAGCCATGACAGGTCATTGTCACTCAGACCTCAGAAAATGCAATCCCTTTAGGGAAATGTTACAACTTCTCCAGAAGGAGCACATAAAGAAAAAAATCATTCCAAGCTGGCTTTGGTCTTGAATCAAAAACAACTAGCAGAAATTCAGTGACCTTTGCACTTGCAATACCTGTGATTCTCCAAACCTAAAAGGAGAAAAAAATGTTCAAAACTAAAATGCATTTTGCATCTACTTTAGTATATACTACAGAGGAATCCACTGAACAGTTTTACATTTCTACCCTGCTTTTAAAAACAAATCAACTTCCTCTACCTTAAGCTACTTTAGTGGTAAGTGAATTATACTTATCCCTGGAACTAACCTTTTTAAGCCATCTTCTTATAAATGAGACACTGTTTCCAGAAGCTCAAAACAAATGTGCACTTCAGTTATTTATTTCTGTCTTAAATATATAACAGCAGAGGTACATGCTTATCATTCACATTTTTTGTTATTTAGGCTATCACACATGACAAAGTGAGCTAATGAGAAAAATCTTTAAAGAAAAAAGGTTATCTTTAAACTTGTCTTCATTTTTTAAGTTGTAAAAATTCCCTTCAACAACTTTAATAAAACAACTGGCTCCAACTGAAATAACACATACAATTCATCTGGCTGATGCACTACAAAACAGGTTTTTTGTTTGTTTGTTTTTTCCCGGTACTGGGAATCGAACTCACGACCTTGCGCTTGCCAGGCAGGCGCTGTGCTGCTGAGCTAATCCCCAACCCCCACAAAACAGGTTTAAAGCAGTTCATTTCAGTCCTTCCCTGGGAAGAGTCACGAGGACTCAATGTGCCAGAAAGGTGAAAGCAGGGAAAGGTTAATATATGCTCAAAATCTACAAAACTGGAAGGAAATTAATACAGACAACACTTCAAGATTCTACAAAGTAAACATTAGGTCAAATAAAAACTCTTGGTCATAGCAATACATTTGAAATGATTGACAATAAACAAATCCTCTGAAACACACATATGTATGTATCGTTTTTATTCTGCATTTTTCCAATCGGGACAATCTTGGTGTATCTGTGAGGCACCTTCCCAACATGTGGAGTTTGGTGCCACGCAGACCAAACTGCTGGCCTTCCACAAAACCACGCACGTCAGAGATTACTGGGCCGTGGTGCAGGCAGGTCAGTCCCACTCTGCGCTGCTCCGCCGCGCTCCTATTAAGCAGCCGGAGAGCCATCCAAGCTTTTCTGCTCCCTAACACATTCTATCTTTTAACCATATGCCATTTATACACACACACACGCATTTCTGACTGTGAAGGCAATGCATCGCGCTACGGGAACACAGAGAGAGAAGTCGAGATTGTCCGTGTTCCCCCCTCGGAGAGTCATCCGGGGGCTCCCTGTGCACGTGCCTGGGCATACGTAAGGGCGTGTCTGTGTGACATGTATTTTTCGAATCAAAATTGGGAGTGCAGCATATGTACTATTTTATCAAGCTTTTTCCTCTAAACATTGTATTATGAATATTTTCCTCTTTGACCATTCACTTCTAAATTTATATCAATTTACTACTAAATGAGCCCTGACAACTTCCTCGAGAATTTACTGAGACACTGCTCGGCATTTAAAAGCACACGGTGATCTGTAAACATGCACCCTCGCCAGGCCACGTACTTACAGAGAACGGCACGGCTGTGGCGTGCATCTCCACACGGCTGATCTTAGTGGCAGGTAGAGCACATGTTTCATCAACTAAAAATTAAACCATTCATTTGTTAAAGCTTATACAGTCACCTAGTTACTGTACACTGAAATACAATTTATAATTTACATACAGATAATGAATGCCACTGAACTGCACACTTAAAGATGGTAAATTTCACTTTTTTTTATGAGGGAAAACAAAACATTAAGAGGCAGGAAAATGCATAAACTCACTTATAAATAAACGCAGTTTAATTTACTCGTGAAAAAATAGCTAAAATCCATGAGCAAACTGGATTTTATGTTTGAATGACTGCACACTGATCTCCGGTCATTTCCCCTCCGTCGTGACGGATTAGTAGCAGCGGTACATTTCATCTTATGTATACTTTACCACAATAAAAAAACTGGGAAAAATAGCTAGAGGGGACCACAGCCATTAGAAATACAGACCCTTTTACTCAGTTCATAAAGTTCATTTTCATAAGGGTTTGATGATTAGCTGGAAAATGGTTACCAAAGGAGAGACACAACTCATCGTAGAATAAAAATTTACAAAATCAGAAATCAATCAGACTGAGAATTCTTAATCCACAGTCCAGAACTCACCTTTTCTAAGGAAAAATGCTGCATTTATTCAGGGGAGGGGGACAGAGTCCGAGCGTGCTTGCGCGTGTGCTAAGCTAAACACTGTTACAGTATTTTAGGTGGTGATTTTAACTGACGTGCTTCCTCTGCTTACATACAACTCGGTTCAAAATGAAATGCAGTTCCCACCCAAGACAAACACGTCTGACGGCCTGACACACATGAACGGTCTGAAACACAGTATGCAGAACACAGTCAAACCTTCGGCTTTGGCACTGAGCGCTGTTAGTGACGTCTCATCTTTAACCACCGCTCCGTTTGTACTTGATGACTCGGTCTTAATGGTCTGCTGGGCTATCAAAGCGTGTGCGCTGGAAACAGTACCGGATACGGAAGATTCTGGGATGACTGTTCTTAAGTCCAGGCAACTACTTGGCACACCTACATTCGCGGAAGTGTGAGGACCTGTGTTTAAAGGGAAGAGACCAAATATTAGTGCAGCACCTGGAGATAATCAGAGCGCCTTATCGTTTCTGTCATGTCGCTTGGTACTTTGGGTTCTAAAATCACAAACATGAGCACAGCTAACCGTCAGACATAATGTTTAGGGGAAAAGCACACTGTAGCCACTGTGGCTGCCCGGTTTCCCAGCTCCTCTTCTAAACACTTCCTGTCCCCAGCTAGGACGCATTTACGACCACACTCGCCCTCCACCTTCTCCAGCTCAGATGAGCTGACTTCCCTCCTAACGAGTTCAGTCTGACTGGGCTGGGGCCCCCGTTCCTTGTCCCGCGTTTTGGGACCTCGTTCACACACTCTTGTCTCTTCGGGGCTTTCACATCGTTGCTTCTCAGATCCTGAACACCATCGAGTTTCTCAAGCAGACACACGTCTTCCTCGCCCCCACGTCCCCGCCACTTCCACGGCTCCTTGCTGCAGGGCGCTAATGAAGTGGCTCTGGCAAACATTAGTAATTTCGACAGGTGACCCCTCAATTTTGGCTCATTTGACCTTTCTGCAGTGTAAACAAGCTGACCCCGTGTTCCTCCTGTGAAGCTGGCTCACTCGGCCGCACACTGGAGATGCACCACCGGGCACGGCTGTTCCGACGGCGCGGGAAGATCCCTCAAAGATAGCACGCTCGCGCGCACAGCTTCCCGTGGTGGGGAGAGGCCACGCGGTCCCTGGCTCCGACGCCCCTGCCCAGCGGAGTCACCTGCATTCTGTCCTTTCTTTGCCCTCTAAGGCCCCGTTCTCCATCTCTTCAGTCAGTTTCTCTTCTTCCAATAATGCTTTATTTTGTAGTGTTCCTACGCTGCCTTTTCCCCCGGCTGTGTTTTAAACATCATTCATGAGTCATGCATCCCTCACACACGTACACTCCGGGCACTGCACCAGGCGCTGGCATCTAGCAGTGAATGACTCAGCCACGTCCCGGCTCTTGTAGAAGACACGCTTGGATGCTGTTAATTTCTGAATTGATATTTCCAACTGAGGACTGCCTCCTACACCCCAGATCTAATATACAACTGCCAGCTAGAAATCTTCACCAGGGTGTTCCTCAGATCCCTCAACGATAGTGAATTCAAAGCTGAACCTTTTCCAAATCTGTTTTGCTCCTATACTTTCTGTTTTGATGAAAAGTAGCACTATTCGTTCCGTTCAACTGAAAAACCTGGGAGTCATGGTCAGTTCGCTTTTCTTTCTCACATCCAACCAGTTGCCAAGTTCCAGAAATGCTGCTAAAAGTCTCTTCAGCAATGTATTTTCTTTCCCTCTGTCTCGCCTGCTTTAGTCTCTCTGCACCTCCAGAGTCTTACGAGAACCCAACAAGTGTTCCAGCTGCACCTCTTCCCGAGAGCGAGGCTGGAGAGCTCTTGTAAAAATGTAGTCATCTCACTCCAGTTTCCGAAACATTCTCCGGCAGTTACTCCAACGTGCTGAGGGCGTCACCCACATGCCGCCTGAGAGAGGCGGCCGCACTGACATGGCTGAGTGTCTAGGAAACGCCCCACGCCACTGTGCGACCGCTCTGGCCTTTCCACTCGGCCAACAGCTCGCGCAGACCGCCTCACGAGCTAGGATGTAGAGCGTGTTAAGACTCTGAAACCTCCAAGTTCAGATTTGCTTTCTGAGAATAATTTTTTTGAAAGATACATACAAAATCACTGTAAGAATATTTAAACTGAAGTCCAGAACCAAGATTTTATAAATATGACTAATAATTCCTTTATGTCTAGGCAGTCAATAAACAAAGGGCTCTCCTTTCCTACAAGTAATACATGAGGGAAATTACTGTCCATGAAGATTTTTACCTACCAAAGACTCAAAGAAAAATGGGAATAAAAAGAATTCATCTTTTAGGTTTGGTTTTTTTGTGTTTTTTTTTTTTTTTTTTGGTTTTTCTCCGGTACCGGGAACCGAACTCACGACCTTGCGCTTGCCAGGCAGGCGCTTTGCCGCTGAGCTAAATCCCCAGCCCCTAAGAATTCATCTTTTTAAATTTGAATTACTGAAGAATTAGCTTTATGTTACATATAATAGTTTTTAAATCAAAAATAAAGCCACATGTTCTTATGTCAGGGATCTATCAGAATGAGATTTATAAAATAATTTCAGATCTGGAAATCAAAGGCAATGCTTAATGTATCTCTAATGGCATCAGAATATTCAAATACAAACATCACAAATGATAAGGACTAATCACAAGTTCTCATACGTGAGCTATCTTTCCAAGGATAATCCAGTTATTTGCTAAATAAATATTCACTAAAAGACTATTATTTATCAAGCTCAGATTAAGTGCTATGGAAAGACATGAACAAAGACAAGATCTGTGCCCAAAATGAATAATTTCACATAACGTTCTAAGAAGGTAAGTAAAGGGCAATGACACTACACACACTGGCCAACCTCAAACGTCACGGAGAACGTTCCTCCAACTCCGCAAGTGGGGGCCTGCTACTGTCATCCTATACGTAGACCCATCACGGGAGATATTTTATTTCTGGCAAAATGGATCAAAACCATGTAACATTCACTTTTTCAATAATTCTAACATTCCCCACTAATGTCACAAGAAAGTTTAGGTTTATTTAAAATGTTATCTTTATACCTTCATTTTTCCGTAGCGTATCTGCCACACAACTATTATGATTAGAAGCATTAGACGCCAAAGGTGAATGCAAAATGGCATTCAGATCTGCTGCTTTGAAATCTGGTTTGTTTCTCACTGAAATTCCTTTCCCGGCTGTGTGCTCAGTTTTTGCACTATTTACTGTATCACTGATCTACAAGAAAAAGGACAGTTTATTGTAGCAAGCACTGTTCAATGAAACAGAAATACATGCAAAGAAAAAGCAAATAATCTATAAGTAAATGCTTTGAAGTAAGTTTACCAAAATATGAGACATTTAAAATTATATTGATCGGTGTAGGATTATTAAGGTTTACAGTAGTTTTTAAGGAAACTCTTTTCACGGAGTTTCCACACCCTGAAGACCAGTTCCGGGGAGGAGCAGGAAGGGAGGTGCGTGTTGGGGACTTTTTTAGGTGGGGCTCTCTCCACGCTATCAGGCAGGCCTCGCATTCCCAGGTTCACGTGAGTGTCCTGCACGAGCCTTCCCAGCAGCTGGGAGTACGGGCCTGTACCGCAGCACCAGCTGATTCTGCGTTCTTGTGTGGCAGCTGGTTACTGGTTTTGTTACTTTGATGCCCCCACCTTTACTGTGAACCCCGCTACTTCTTCCTGGCTCTAGGCTGCCATCACGCGCCCTGGGACTGTTCTGTTTGTTGCTGGTGACGGCGCCGTAAGTGTGATGGTAATGACACCAAAACCGCTCTGTGCTCCATGAGACGATGTCCCTTAACGTGCTCTTTGCTTAAAAATCAGGCACTTTAACTAGAATTATGTAAGGAAGAAAGAAAGCTTAAGATTTCTGGTTAAACTTTGTAGATTAATTTCAGGAAATTCCTCCAAAAATCCAATTCAAATAATCACAAGGAAAGTCAAAACTATAAACTTACAGGGAACAAGCGAGCAGGAGGAGACAGTACTGGAGGCCGAGCGGGGACAGCCGGTCCCTCAGCACGCACGTACACAGTCTCTGGGATGCAAGAGGGGGATGGGGGGGCGCCGGCCGCAGGGGTGTGCAGCGCCAGCACCGCCGAGGACTGTCATCAGCGGCCCTGTGAGGAGGGCTGAGCCAGCTCCGTGGCCCCGGACCACAGACGGGGCCAGACGGGTCCCCTTCCACACTGACCCAAGCGGGGAAACTGGTGGGAAGCTGGGGTGTGAGGCTCTGGAGCACGGGACGCCCGCCTCACACGGGAACCCTGCTCCTCTTTCTAGCTCCTGCTGCGTGGACGGCGGGGTTCTGACCCAGGAAGGTCTGTGGGCCCCTGATGACCCTGTCAGTCTACAGCCAGAGCCGTGCCCAGGAGCCGACGCAGGGCACTGCGGCTCTCTGCACTTCCGCGCAGCACAGGCCAGCTGAGCATGCCGGACATCGACGGCAGCCTCCACTGCCAAGTGCAGAATTAAAAGTACAAATGAACTCATCCAAGCAGAATAAGAGTTTTTAAAAGCTTCATTTCTGAAGAGACGGTGGAAGATATTACATTTATGAAGCTATAAAGAGTGTGGCTGAATATACTTAAACTTTGTAATTTCAAATTTTCTCTTTTTTGGTACCAGAAATCGAACTCAGGACCTTGGCTTGCCAGGCAGGCACTTATGCCACTGAGCTAGATCCCCGGCCCTAAACACTGAACATATAATACAAAATGAAAACTTTTTTCAGAAAGTAGAATGGACAGAAAGAGAAGATGGGAACTATGACGTCAGCTTAGGGCTCTGCCAGGAGGACCTGCATTCGTCAGCAGGTTGGGGACAGCGAGAGGCGGGCACCTGTGGCTGCACGGGAGGAAGGGTCCAGGTTCAGGGCCAGCCTTGGCAATTTAATGAGACTCTGTCCCAAAACGAAATTTTAAAAGGACTAAGACTGTAGCACTGTACTGGGTTTAATCCCCAGTTCTAAAAAAAAAAAATTGAGATCAAATAGAGGCAAGAAGCAATCAGTAAGAAAGCTGTTTCTAGAAAAATGGACTTCACAGAGTGTACAGTAAACAGTGGAAGAGTCAGTCCCTGAAGCATGTCACTGCTGAAATTTCTGAAAACTGAGGATAAAAATGGGAAAAAGGGTCATGGGTAACAGATTAAGAATCCAAGGGGCAGTAGGCTTCTGAATAGCAACTTCTGAGCGGCAACACTGAATGGTAAAGGACAGGAGGAAAAGCTTGCAAATTTCTGGGGGCAAGTCTTCTAACACAGAATTCTACACCCAGTCAGACAATCAGTAAAATGTGAATAAAGAGATTGTCAGCTATATAAGATCTCAAACTATTTACCTTTCTTAGGACTACTGAAGAAGTACTGAATAAAACAGAGAAAAGCAGGGCAGAGAGAGAAATAAAGTCAAGAAACACGGGACCTGATTCAGGAAAATACAAGAAACGCAGGCTATGACCCAAACTGAAGGTCTAAAAAGGCCAGAGCAGACTTGAGCGTGAGGCAGGGGGCGCAGAGGGAAGCAACAGGGACCTTCCGCGCTTGAGCCTGTGTGTGGATGCACGAGAGGAAGAGAGTGAGCAGACGGAAGAGGGCCTTGATGCCGGCACGGCCCCAGCAGCCGAGTTCTGGATAACACAGCACAGAGGGCGGCGCTGGCACTCTGGGGTAAGTAAGTGAGTCTTGGGTTGCAGTCTGGGCACGCGTCTCTAAAAGGTTTGCTACCCCTGGCTTATCCTCATTACAGTGGTTTACCAGGAAGCTGGGAGTCCTACTTACAACACCCGCTCCTGACCTGCAGCAGCCTTTCCTGCTCTCACTGGCCCTCAGTCCACGCAGAACGCGGCTCTGCCACACCGCTGCCTGAGAAGAGGCTGCAGACACACACGGCAGTTTGCCAGACAAACTCATGCGCCTTCCTAAGCCCCTTCCCCGGCTCCCACGCACTTACTGTGAAGCGCCCACAAGTAAGAAATAACTCCCACTCAGAGGCGCTCCTTTTAGCAACTCACACTGTCCAAATGCACAGAAAAGGTATGTTTAAAGTAGGTATGAAGACTCGAGGTGCGAACGTTCGTATGTGCACTGTGTGAGATTCACCATCAGCTTCCAACATACTCATGAACAACTCTCCCAGAATGGAACCTGCTCGTGTCGGGGACTTACTGCGCATCCTTGGAAACTTAAATTTGTGTGTGATATTCAGAAATAATACAGACACATAATAAATTCTAACCCAGCAGCCTCTGACCCTGTAGATAGTAAGGCCAGGCTGCTCTTGGCCCAGGGCTCTCAATTCAGGCCACTTGATAGTGGTCTGTGGCGAGCTCTTTCTTCCTGTACTTCTGTGGTGCTGAAGATCCAATCCAGGGCCTCGTGGAGGTGACTGTGATGAGCCGCCAGGGAGGAGGACCCCGTTTTTGAGAAATGTTCTAGAAATCCTAATGAAGGAGGCTACCACCGCCTGCACCCACGGGCCATCCATCGCAGGGTTTCCACTTACACCATGAGGAAGGATGCTGTTGCTGCCTTGTCTGTGAGGCTCTGCCCTCCCTCCTGTGGGATGAGAAAGTTCACACTGCTGTGAGCTCCATCAGCTTCAGGGAAATATAATCAGAACTTTTAAAGTCACATAGTAAAGATTTGGAAGACAGTATCTTTTTGAGGGGGGGTCTTTTTGAGACAGGGTCTCGCTATGCAGTTCAGGCTGGCTTTGAGCTCACTTTGTAGCCCAGGCTGGTCTCGAACTTGCAATGATCCTCCTGCCTCAGCCTCCTGAGTGCTGGGATTACAGGTGTGCGCCACCACGCTTGGCTAGAAGGGAGTATCTTTATCAGAGTTGATCTGCTTTCTTAATAGTTGGCGTAACACTTAACTGAAGAATAACGTACAAAATTAAATGTCCTTCTTTACTTTACAAATGTTCCTTAGTTAAAAATATTTTTGAAAAAAGGTAAAGTTGGTCAGGCACGGTGGCACACGCCTGTAATCCCAGCCCTTGGGAGGCTGAGGCAGGAGGATCGCTGTAAGTTTGAGGCCGGGCTGGGCTACACAGTGAGCTCAAGGTCAGCCTGCACTACACAGCAAGACCTTGTCTCAAAAAAAAAAAAAAAGGAGAAATCTTTCTGAAGCTAATTAGACATATGTGGAAACAAATAACAAAACTTAAAACTCCATCAAAATGTGTCCTACATATCTAAAAGTCTGTGTCTACAGCATAAGGTATAACTGCCAATTATCTATCAGGTGTGGACCATCACATCCTAATTTTCTTAAACCAACCCTAAGCACATATTTTTCTGCAGTATACTTTTCTGGTTTTGTTTTTTTGAGACAGGGTCTTGTTACATAGCCCAGGCTAGCCTCAAACTCACAGCGATTCCCCTGCTTCAGCCTCCCAAGGGCTGGGATCACAGGTGTGCTTTTTAAAAAGCATATGAATAGAGCCAGGGATCTAGCTCAGCAGCGCAGTGCTTGCCTGGCAAGTGCAAGTCCTGAGTTCAATCCTCGGTACCAAGAAAAGAAAAAAGCATACGAAGAGACATGTTTTCTTGGAGCGGGACCACTGTCTCACCTGGTGTGTTTGGTGCTGCTGAGGAATCTGCCGCGGCAGCCTGGTACGGCAAATCCGTGCTCAGCTGCAGAAGGTAGCCCTCTACCGTGGGCACCTCATCCCACTTCACATGGAAAGAGCTGGTGGTGGCTTTGATCAGCTGCACTTGGGACGGCGCCAGCGGTTTCTCTAAAGAACAACATTGACAGCATGCATTTACGTCTCAAAGGTACCGACAGTTTGCCTGTGTACTCTGTGTGGGCTACAGCTTTGCAAACATCAGCACTATTTCATTTGTTTACCAAGAGAGGGAAAGTTACTCTGATAAACACGGCTATGGTATTCAAACGAAAACTGTGAGGTTCTGACTCTTAAATAAACCTACAAATGAAATAAGCCAGTAAGAATCTAATCATTGGATTCAGGAAAAAAAGTTTAATCACGGGGGGAGTATTATATAATTATAGCTACATTGTTTTATCTTCTTTTGAAGTTCAATCTCTTTAATGTTATGAATCAATTTTGAGCCAACAGCATAAATATTGTTAATGCTAGCAAAGATGACCTGGACATGATATTTTAGGAAAACTCAAAAACAAACAAAAAAAGACCAACACAACTTCTCTAGAGTAATAGTCTTATCACGATTTGAACTACCCATGCCGTGGCAGTGCCGTGGACACAGTGGATTGAGAACAGCCACGCTCTCCTCCGTAGCTATTCTGTGCACGGCCACTTTCAGGGTACAACACAGCGGAGCAGTTACAGCACCGCCAAGTATTTACCAAGCACAGAAGAAGTGCGGTAGCTGTTTCAGAGGACAGTAACACCCAGTCTCCCCTCTCCGGTGGGAGCAACAGCCCAGTTTTAGGAGGGCTCTCAGAGTAAGGCAGCCCACACCTGAACCAAAGCACACACCACCGGCAGCACACAGGTCACACAAAGCGGGAACAGCCAAGCAAAGGGTGCACACTCAATAAAATAAAACTGCCAGAACTGAAGAACATGCGCTTCCAGACTGAACGGCCCCATAGAGGACTCCGCACACAGATTAAAGAGAGACCCACGAGAATGTCATGAAATTAGAAAACAGTTGGGGGCCGGGATATAGCTCAGCAGCACAAGCGCCTGCCTGGCAAGCTCAAGGTCCTGAGTTCGATTCCTGGTACCAAAAAACAAAAAACCCAAAAAATCAAAAAACAGTAGGGACACAGAAGTTTCACAAGCTTCCCTGGAGGACAAGAAAAAAGGCACGTTAAAAAGGACCGCAAGGCACAGCTGTGCAAGCCTGGAGTCTTGACTGCTCAGGAGGCTGAGGCGGGGCAATCACTTGAGTGCTAGAGTTTGAGGCTGGTGTGGGCAACGTAGTCAGACCCCAGCTTAAAAACAAGAACAAGAAGAACAACAAAAATAACCGATGGGTGGGGACCGCCCCACGGCCTAGCGCTCGCAGGAGGCCCGGGCTCCACTCCCATGGGTGAAGGGCAGGGGACAGAAAGCACAGGGACTTGGCAGAGGGGCGAGGCAAGAAGTGTGCCTGGGAAGCTGAGGGCTCCTGGGAGACAGCGGGGCTCCCCATGGAGGCCGAGACCCAGGAGCAAGGCGGGGCGCGTTAGAGATGACGGCACTGGACGGCACAGGAGATGCACCCCGCGTGCGGACGCTCCACACACGGGCCAGAGGGCGTGCGAGCTGGGAAAATGATCAAATCTAAAATGAAGAAAACCGCAATTGGTCCAGGCCAACAGAAGAAGTGCATGGAAGACTCGACCGCACCGCTTCTCCGGTCCCCGTGTAAGCACTGAGCACGCGGCTCGCAGGATCGCGCTGGGTCGGAGGGAGGGAGGCTGAGGGGGAGAGGTGCGCACGCGGGGAAGACAGGAGTCCCCTGCGTCCACGCGGGGAAGACAGGAGTCCCCTGCCTCCATGCGGGGAAGTGCGTGTACTAGAGCTACACTGCAAAAACCACAATACCAAGACAGCAGACATGGCACAGAGACACGGGAGTGAGCGCCCGAAGGACCACTCCACGGAGCGGAAGGGAAATGGGATGGGGAGGTGGGTGTGGTATTGCATGAGAAGCCCTATGGAAGTCTATTACTCACCTGAATGTTACCAAATGCGCAGTTTAGCTAAAAGCCAAAAGGGGGCAAGGCAATGATCTTCCCTACCCGCAAAAATGATGCCAAGCTTATCAAATGGAAAATCGCAATCTAAATTTTGCTCCTATGACAGCAGCCATGATTACTTTTAGGAGGTATTTTTGTCTTTAGAGCTTTTTCTGAAATTCATGGAAAAGAGCCATTCCGACTGGATGGCTTTTACCTTTAAAAGTCACAGATCCCTAGGAAAATCTGCTTTAAAAGATACACTCCTGCAGGGCGTGGTGGCGCATGTCTGTAATCCCAGCACTCGGGAGGCGGAGGTAGGAGGACTGCTGCAAGTTTGAGGCCAGCCTGAGCTACAAAGAGAGCTCAAGGCCAGCCTGAACGAGAGTGAGACCCTATCTCAAAAAAAACACAAAACAAAAAACATGTCATATTCCTCATAGGGAATTCCTATGTGTACCTATGATTGATTTCAAATAGTAATTTCCAATTTTAAAGAATTAGTAAATTGGATTTCCATATTTCTCTCCTGCTTACTAGTATGTGCTCCTTTCATAGAAAATATTTAGTGTGTTTTATTAGTTTTTTCAATTAAAACAATTTTAGTATTAACTTTTTATATTACAAAGATAATACATGCTACTGTAGAAAACACAGATAAAAGAAAACGTGTACAATCTCAGCTCTCCAATAATTGTGTAGCATGAAACTCCCAGGTTTTCTATCTATACACTTAGAAAGCTGCAGTCCCAGGGACACCCGTCTGCTTTTCTCACAGGACAGCACAAACTCGCCAGACCTAATTTCTCTACTGGCTGCCATACTAGTTTATGGGCTGAGCTGCTGACCTGACCTCATCTGCAACTTAGCATGGTCTAAAAGGAACATTGAATTTTCTCCACAAGGCTGTTTTCTTTATCTTAACAAATTATTCAGGCTAAAAAACTTCATGCTCCAATTCTTCCCTCTTGTCCTCGGCCACACCCAGCTGATGAACCAGTTCTGGCAGGAGGAACTCCAGGCTGTGCCCCGGCCGTAGCCATCGCCCCTCTTCTCCAGGGACGACTGCAGGCGCTTCCTGACTTGTCTGTCCAGCGCACACCTGTCCTCTACAATCCATTTTCCACACAACTGCTGACGGCCACGCCAAAACGTGCATCGCCCTGTCAATGTTCCTTGCAACATAGCTACCTTACCCTGCACCAGAAAACAATTTAAAGCACCAAGACTCGGGGTTCGATCCCCAGTACCACTAAAAAAAGGAAATATGTGAAAACAGTTTAAAACCTCTGCCATGCACAGCCCCGCAAGACCCAGCGCCTGGTCACCTCCCTGCCTCCGATCCCACTCTCTGCTCTTCTCAGCTGCTTCCCCCCACAGGCGCATCCCTGCACCCCTCTTCATTAGTTAGTTCCGAGACTCTGAAGCGGCCACCAGCCCGGCCCAGCACCTCCCCTCCCTGGCTCCGTCTCCCGTGCTCACCAGAAACCAAGCCCACCTTGCTGGCCAGGCTGCGCGTTATCCCCCTGCCGTCACATCTCAGAATCCAAGCTCCTGAAAGCGGGGCCCTTATCAGCCTTGCTCACCACTGTACTCTCGGCACCTACAGCAAATCTTGCTACACAGCTGTCAGTACGTATTTATTGGAAGTGGATGTGAGTTCCACATTTACAAAATTCTTGGCACTATATAAATTTTCCTGCGTAGCAAACAAATACTAATAAAAAGAGAAAGAAATATAATTCAGAAAGGTGTAAAATAAAACATAACAGTAAAAATTTGTGCACATCTTTTTTTTTCCTGCACAGCTTTTAAAAAATAAAAGTTAAAAAATTTTGTGGCATTTTCAGATTTACAAAGAAGCTGCCACGTCAGCAGAAAAGCAGCAACACTGGCATAAACCTTCTGCCCAGCCCCTCCTGGTGGCCCGGTGGCCAGAACCGGGAAATTCCCGAGAGAGCTGCTCTTCCCCCCCGACTGCGGCCCTCGGACTGCACAGCGCCCAGCTAGCACCGCCTTTCCTCCCAGATCCAGCCCGCGATGCCACACTGCACTCGGCCACCTCCTCTCCTTCACCTGGGGCCTCGCTCGAGTCTCAGCACTCGGAAGCTGTGGCGAGCACCCCTGCGTATCTGCAGAGTCTACAGCGCCCCTCGGTTGCACTCTGGCTGGGCTGCGGACACGGGTCTTCAGGAAGACAGCCACAGAGGTGAGGTACTTTTCATTACATAAGTGCCAGAGGTAAACGACCTCACTCGCGGGGCTAACCTGGCGACCGACGAAGGCAGACCTGCAGGGCCACGCCGGTGGAGGGCTACTGCTTTTCCCTTCCACACTCTTCTCTGGAAAGGCGTCTCGAGATCTAAGCTACACTCCAGGAGAGGAGAATTCATATATGCCCTGCAGGGGAGCAGCTATGTGTATTATTTCTTCTCCCCATTTTTAATTACAGGAAAGAGAGAGTGGTATTTACATTGTCTTTTTGAGACAGGGTCTTGCTATACAGCTCAGGCTGGCCTTGAGCTCACTTTGCAACAATCCTCCTGCCCCGGCCTCCTGAGTGCTGGGATTACAGGCATGTACCACTACGCTTGGCTACATTAAGTCTATTTTTTTGGTATCAGGAATCCAACTCAGGACCTTGTGTTTGCCAGGCAGGCGCTTGTGCCATTGAGCTATAGCCCCGGCCTTACATTAAGTCTTGAGAGACACATTATTTGAGTATTTACCTAATGGAAAATTTTATTTGTTAAATACTCTTACCTACCAGTATCAAGATACCAGAGATCCTTGCAGCAAACTTGACTATTCAGTGCTTTTTTGTAGCCATCTCTTCCGCTCCAAAAATACAGCCGAGTGCCAATTGCAACAGCACAGTGTCCAGCTCTTGGTCTTGGTCTTGAGTTTTTTTTATCCTCCTGAGAATCTGGTACTAGGGTGGCCCACTCTGCCGTATCTAGAGACAGAAAGGCCTGTGACTACGGTATTGCTCTCAAACAACAACATAACCAAGATTCTTTTACTAATAAATGTTACTTCAATAATATTAAAAGGCGCACCTAGATTTAGGTAAGAAAATGAACTGGTACACCTCCACTCACAATCATGAGGCGAAGTCTCAGTATTTTCACCTTTATGTGGAACCCATCCTCCAAAAATGTACATCCTGATCAACACAAAAGCAAGAACATAAAGTGGCTGAGTTAATTTTACTTTTTGGATTTGAAAGGCCAAAAATGAGCTTAAATGTATTGACAGAAAGTGTCATGGCTATTCATTCACTTATTCCAGTCAGGATAACTGGGTAAGAAAATGCATACAGTGATCTTCTTTCAAGAGTCTACAGGCTGACGCTGGGCAGCAGTGCCTACCCATAGTTCTAGCTACTGATAAGGCTGAGGCGGGGGCGGGGGGTCAGACGAGCCCAGGAGTTCACGGCCAGCCTGCACGGCACTGGGAGATCCTGTCACAAAAAGAACAAGAACAACAGAAAGACTTTACAGTTTTCTGAAGCAATATTGACTCAAAATTATTTCTCTCTGGTAAGTGCCTTACAATGGGTAATATTTCAATTGTAATGCATTAGAAAATCAACAATGAGCGTAACATAGTAAGGGCATACTCGGTAATCTACAACATCCCAAGTCAAAGTCATTGTACATGTATAGCAACCAGACAGGATTACACAGTTCATGTAACTTTGGCCACAGATATTTTTAAGTGAAATACTTGCAGCCAGGTGCAATGGTGTATACCTGTAGCCCTGGCTGCTCCAGAGGCCAAGGCCAGAGGATCCCTTGAGCCCAGGAACTGGAGGCTGCCTCGGCAACACAGAAACCCTGGCTCAAAATTCGAAACAAAATAAAACATCTGACTATGTCCCACAGAGTCCCAGATGTTCCAGACTCCTAAAGAAGACAGGCTCAGCAGGCCATGCCAAGGCCTACAAGACCTTGCATGACCGACAGACAGGCCCTGCTTCCCAACTGTTTTATACAGTATGGTGTGTGTGTGTGGGGGGGAAGTACATGTTACAAAAGGGTGCTACCATTTAAAAATGTATTTTGTAAGACTTTATTTCAGTGTACAGACTATTCTGACTGGTTTTTGAGTTATTTTAAGAAAAAAATTAGTGAGATTCTAAATTATAACTCACAGTTTCCTGAAACATTTTTTTCTTTTGTTTTTTGAGACAAGATCTTGGTACGTAGTTCAGGCTGGCCTTGAACACATGGTGATCCTCCTGAATGCTGGGATACTGGCCTGTACCACCACACCCGGCCCAAAACATTATTTCTATACCAATAAATACTTCATTAGGTTGTACTTACATGGTACCTCTAATTAAGGCCCAGTGTTACACAAACAAGGAAATGTGCTGATGGTAGCAACAGCTAAGCTTTATGATTGCTCGGAAAGCCTCTAAGTGTTTCTGAGAACTGTTCACGTATTAATCTACTTAATCCTCATTATACCCCAGCAAAATAGGTTCTACTTTAATCCCCATCATATGCTTGAGGAAACTGAGGTACACACAGATGGATTACATTTCTCCGCCCCAGTGTATGCAGGACAAGTACCAAGCTGGCTTGAACAGGGAGAAATCCAGCTCCACAGTCTACACTCTAAGCATAACTCCATCTCGCCATCCAAAGCATCGTCCCTGAGAATGTGTGCCTGAGCCCAACCACGCAGCCCCCAAACCCTGTCAACAGAAGGGGCGAGATGTTTGACTACGCCTGCCGGGTAGCCAGGCCAGCCTACGCTGGGCAAGGTGCTGAGCGGGAGCTCAAGAAGTATGAAAGACGATGGTGAGAAACAGCACACGGGTGTTTCAGCTTCCACTGACAAGTTATTTTAGCTTCTGTATGCAAAATCAAAGGCTAAATTCAGCAATCCACTTCCAAGAAACTAACGTCATCACTTTTTTTTTTTTGGTACAGGGAATTGAACTCATGACCTCAGGCTTGCCAGGCAAGCGCTTATGCCACTGAGCTACATCCCTGGCCCTCACTTTTCTTTTGTGTGTGTTTTTCTTCAGTTTTTTTTTTTTTAAACCAAAAGCGAAAAACAGAAACATGCCATACTTGTTTCCTATAACACTGGCTGTGTGGAGGCTTCGTGGAAGAGGCACTGTTCCCTTAGTTTCTGGTTTTGACCATGACATAGTTTCTAAAAGTAAAAATAAGTATATTAGCATCTCCGTCTAATAATAGTAAATTACCTCAACCTGCATACTTTAAAAAATGTGAGAAGCACTTATGAAAATGAAGCAAAAATGTTTTAAAAGCTACTTGAACTTCCTCTTAAACATTGCCAGCTGACATTCACTGTCCGAACTCCATCTACACTTGACCAGCAGCGCAGCGTTTGTAAGGGAGGTGTGCTTACAGCACCTCGGATTTTGAACTAAGAACAGCACTAGTCATTTTAACATTTTAAATAAGGGCAGCTTGCAGCGAAGACAGTCAAGGTGAAAGGCACACTGTCGCTCCAGGCGGTCACTCCTGCCACCCCTTCAGAAAGACCTAAGGGTTTTCACTGATGAGCAGCCCCACTGCAACGCCGCCGTTCCCCAGGATGGGACACCCCCGCCGGCACTACTGGGCATGAGCAGGGGCACTACTGATAATCCCACTGGACTGTACGCGGAGCGCAGACAGGACCAGCCGTGGCACTGCTTCCATGCCAGCTGTCACACTGAGCACGCGCTTGTTCAAGTAGACTGACGGCAGCCTGCTGGTCCAGAGACTGCAAGTACAGCTAGAAGCGTAGCACAACTCAATAAACACTGCAACCAGGAATATGTTCAAGGCAATTCTAAAATTCGCCCTTATTAATCGCAACCAATCACTGAGCCAAAGCAAGGCAGGCTTACCGATGTCAAGCTGCCATAGGTCATCCAGGCGGGCACCGCACATTCCGCCGAAAACGAACATCTGAGGGCTTCCGGAGCCCTTTCTGCAGTATATGACTGCGGTGTGGGACTCCCTCGGGGAGGGCACAAGCCCCTTGGTGACTGGGATGCTCCAGCCCACAACGCCGGAGCCGTGCTGCAGCTCCAGCTCATAGAAATCATTTAAATACCTAGGGCAGAACGAAAGAAGTGAGCACACTCAAAGAGAATATAGTCAAATGTGCAAAAACCCTTTAAAAATTAAAAAGGCAAAGAAAAGCCCTGGAAAAATATTTGGATATATAAAAGAACATGTATTTTTTTTGCTTGTATATAAAGAATTCTAAGAAAATGATTAGAAAGAAATTAGTTCAGCAAAGTCACAGGAGACAAGGCCAACATACAAAGCCAACTGTATTTCTATTATACTGCAGTGAAAAATCCAGAAAATGAAATTAAGAAAAAAAAATCCATTTATATTATCATTATAAAGAATACAGAATTTAGGAATTTCACAAAATACGGACAGCAAGACTTGTACATTGAAAACTATACAAGAAAAGAAATGATTGTTTGGAATAAATCAGAGAGTATGTGTTCGTGGAAACCACTTCTTGAATAAATGATGGAGTGAAGGCTTTAATTGTATAGTCATATTTTTGTCACCAAATTCCCAGAGAAACCTAGTTGGGTAGGAGGGCAGGTGGGTGATGAGGGGACAAGGCGGGGTGAGTGAGCTCAGGGCCTTGGACATTGCTAGGCAAGGGCCCTGCTACTGAGCTACATCCCCGGCCAGGAAACCTATGTTAAAATTACCATCTGTTGCTTTTCATTATCATTTATGACCTAGCTAACAAACACTACAGTTCAAGATATAGCAACATGTTGATATAAGCAGTTATACTAATATCAATTTCATAACTGATTAAATTATTAATCAAAATTGGGATTTCTCATTAAGACAGTCTGAAAACATATACTCCAAGGACAAAAGAAAACACAAATACCAAAACATGTATTCACTGTTAGGTTTAATGCAAAAAGCTAAGCACCCTTTATAGTAATTTAACGCCTGTAACCTCCGCACTCTGGGGAGGTAAGGCAGGAGGGTCACAAGTTTTAGAACAGCCTAGGCAACGTACCAAGACCCTGAATCAAAATGAAAAATAAAAAAGTACTGAGGGTTCAGATCAGTGAGAAGAGCCCTGGGTTCAATCCCTGAGACTGAAAACAATTTAAAGTTGGAAGAAATCAAATATTCCTAACCTAAATCACAAAATAAGGCCTGGGGGGGTGGGATGTAGCTCAGTGGCGTAAGTGCTTGCCTGGCAAGCCTGAGGTCATGAGTTTGATTCCTGGTACCAAAAAAAAAAAAAAAAAAAGCCCTGGGTCTGAAAAAGAGCATACCTTGGAACATTATTGTTTGAATCTTCACTTTCATTTGCCAGCCCACCAAACAAATAGCATTTGTTGCCATACAATGAGAAACTATGTCCAAGCCGAGGGCACGGAGGTAAACCGGAAGGTGGGGGATGGGGCTTCACCTTCTTCCATAACCAACGACTGGCCTGAAGGAGGAGCACAAACACAGACCACGTGAGAAGGCAAATGCTGTCAACAGTGTGACGTCACACAAATTCACGGCAATCTGAAGGCCATCAGCTACGTTTAGCGAGAATGACAAGGAAGCCACTAACTTTTGGAATTAAAATACACATTCCAGTAGGAATTCAGATGAGGGTTAGGGAGGTTGCACTGTCCCTTTAGTTCCTGGTTTTATCCATGACATAGTTGCTAAAAGCAAAAATAAGTATACACACACAGATTTCCACAACGGCACAGGAAGCTGGAAATAACAATAATAAACACTAATAACTTTAACGTTCCCAAATGGGTAATTAAATATTTATTAAATTGTATATAACTTTAAGATTACATGTAATTTACATTTTTATTTTCTGATGTGAGGTGATTTATAAATGCTGAGATATTTTAAGCTTTGAGTAAACATAAAGCTCATTTAACAAACCAAACTCTAAAACTTGTTCTCTGGCCACGAATGTCTTCTTTACCTGAAACAGTTTTTGCAGTGAGCTGCTTGTGAACAGATATCACCTAGCCACATGTGCCAACTGGCTGACACCCCGGTGACAGGCCCTGGGGACACATGCACAGGTCCAGAACAACAGAAAGCAAGGGCTATGAGTCTGGCTTAATAACAGTCAAACTCAGAAAGGTTAAACAAAGCCATAACCCCCCTTTTACATGTGTTACTGGGAGGAAAACCGTAATGATTAGTGCTAACAGCAGCAATTCCTGTAACACTAAAGCAGTGGTCCGCACATCAACGAAGACTTTGGTAGAAACACAAATTCTCAGGCCTTACAACTAACTCACAAAACTGACTTAGAAACCGTGGGGGTGGGGCCCCCCCAACCTGTTTCCACAAATCTTCCAAGTGTTTCAGTCACAGGCTAAAGGTGAAGAACTACTGCACAAAGATACTGAAATCCGAAGTGTAACACGTACAAGCTATGCTAAGCAGCAGACATGTGGATATTACAAATGTTACCCTCTGCATGAAAAACCACATAGTTGGGACTTCTAAGTGAAGTGTTAACATTTTCTTGGACACTATAAAATGTGAAACTGGACAGCTGGGGGGCAGGTGCCCCTGAGACTGGAGAATCACAAGTTGAGTTCTCAGGAAAATAAAAAGGGCCGGTGATGTTTTGATCCCCAGTACCACAAATAAATAAATAAATAAATAAACTAAACCAAATAAAATGTGAAGCTTATGCTATTTTAAGTATGTTAATGAAATATTTTGCAGTCTTTTCAATACCTGTGAGCCATATTACTATTAAAGCTTCAGACTAAAATAACACATTTTCAATGCACTTACTTGTAACTCATATAACTCATTGCTGTATCTTCCATATTCAACCATTCCCCCAAAAACCAATATTCTGGTGCCGTCGCAAACAAATCCATGGGCAGCACAGCCTGGAGGGATGTCTCCTCTAACGGCTGGTAGGAACCACTGATTTGTAACTAGATGCCAAAATAAAATTAAAATCAATCACAATCACCACTAATGCATTCGTTGAGTGTGTACTCCGTATACCTCATCCATATCAGTGAGTCTCAGGCGGGGATGATTCTGTCCCCCCCATACTGATTGGGCAATATATGAAAACACCTGCAACTGTCACATCTGTAGGTGGAGATACTAGCCAGTAGATACCAGCCAATAGCAGGCAGAGGCCAAGGGTGCTGCAAAACGTCTCACAGCAAATAGTCCCTGGACCTAAAATGTCAGTAGTGAGGCTCTTATAAAAACCCTACTGGGTATCTACCATCTCCATTTAAAAACAAAACCGAGGCTTAAAAGGGTTTGGCAACTTGAATGTTAATCCTGGCATCTAGCGGATCAAGATTCAAACCAGGTCTCATTCCTCCTATAGCCAGGGATTTTACACCAGGCGAAAATAAAACAACCTCTCAACCCTGAATGCTGCGGAGTCAGGAGGAGGAAAGCAGGCAAAAAGCACAACTTTCTCTACCCCACTTCTTGCCTCACCTTGAACCCACCGCGGTAATTAAGTTGTTCGGTCACAGAAAAGTTGCTGATCATGAGATAAACTGACAATTCGGTAATGAGCCTTACACCAAAGAAACATTTCTCCCGACAGCTGCAGGATCGACAAGTGGGAAAATGAAATTCCAGGCTCAAAGGCACAGCCTCCCTGGCCAGCGGCCCTTGGGACAGGCAGGGCGCTCCCGGCTCCTGGAGGAGCAGCGCCCAGGACGGGCGCAGCAGCCGCGCACACGGCCCTGTCCCCGCCGGGGGAGACGGTGCCCAGGGGACCTCGACCGCCGGGCACTCTGCCTGCGTCCGGGCACGCAGGACCAGAAGGCCCCTGCTTCCCCGCTCCTGCCCGCAGACCCTCTCCTCCTGAGGAGGAGAGGAGGAAGGCAGGGCCGGCAAAGGCCCGGGGAGCGACGGGTGGCGGCGGGTTTTGTTTTTGACAGCGGAGGGATTCGGGCTCCCGGGGCGGGAGGGACGCGG